CCAGGTCTTGGTCCTGGTGGCGTCGTGGATTAGAAGTCATCCTGCTGATGCAAGGTCAGCAATTCAAAGCCCAGCAGCTATTTCCTACATGAAGCCATCTGCTCCATCAAGAGTCTCAGACTCAGTAACCCACGGCGGCAGTTCTACTCCATCCAATGGGGTGGCTGTAAGTCAGAATTGACAATGGCAGTGACTTTGGCTTAGGAGATTTTGTTTTGTTTTGTTTTTTTCTTTCTTTTCGTGTTTTTTTTTCCTCCTCCTGCAGAGCTCCTGGTGGGTCTGCGTGTCCACCTTTGAGGTAGCCATCAAACGCTTAAATACTGTGCAACCCAGGTTTCCATCTTTTGCATCGCAGTGGAGAAACCCTAGGTACAAATTGGGCATCAATACTCTCCCTATTGGGCTCACATCGCTGACACTCTTTAGACTCCTTAGAATGACCCTCACAGATCTTCCAAATGGCACCCTGCCTCACCCCTGGTGTATGTGTTCCAACTGCTCTGATCCAACTGTAGCTCTGCCAACCCCCTGATGACTCAGTATGTCCCCATTCCCAGCATCCTTCAATCGTCCTTCATCTGACCACCATTAGGATTCCTCCCTCCCAGAATCCCCCCTGAATACTCTGGGACCAACATTAGGTGTCCCTGCCTTTCTACTCCCATCACCCTTGCACACACACCTCTTTGTACACACACCTCTTTGTACACACACCTCGCAGCACTATTCTGTTGTTGCTACAGTGGCCTGCCATTGAGATGACCTCCAACTTTCCCCTCGCCTTTAAGGCACATACATAATCTATTTCAAAATCTCTTAACTTCCACTGATTCAATTCCAACTCATAGAGAGAGAGCCTTATATAGTGTTCTCAAGACCATAAATGGTATGGGAGCTGACAGCCTCATCTTTCTCCTACATAGCATCTGGTGGGCTTGAACGGCTGAACTTTTGGCTAGCAGACCCAATGCTTAGTCCACTGTGCCACCTGGCTCCTTATATCAAAGTTTAGACAACTTGAAGTTTTACCACACTAAGTCTTTTTTCCTGGGTTTCACAAGGATCCTTTCTATTGCTGGGCCCTCCAATCTACTCACATTATCCTCTGCACTGTCTACTCTGAAGCCAATTCTTGGCTGTACGTTTCTCATCTCGGATAGGAGAGCTCTCATTTCTAGAAGTTTGATCCAGATAATTTTTTGTTTTTGCAGGTGGCCTTTCCAGGCTTACATGTAATTTTCCAAGTGCACGGAGTTCTGTTAGACATATTGTCCTTATGTAGCAATTTCAGTATCGGTCTCAGCTGTGGGTATGTTTTGATGTGCTGGCTTTTCTCCTCATGATGGAGAACATGTTCTTGCCTTTCAGCATGCCTGCTAGTCTCTAAAGAGACCCTGATACTGGAATTCTGCTTTCTTTAGGGATAGGTATTGTTGTATTCCTACACCTAGTGTTGGGCTCTGTCCAGGGCTGCAACTCAGTTACTTGGACATTGTTTACTAGGCGGGACCAGAACAGATCCTAGGCTCAGGCGAATTCTTTCCCACTACTGAGGAAAGAGCTTCTATAAATTCTTCTCAATTCTCTATGAATTCAGATATGTTTTACAACCTGGTTGGTGGAATCTAAACCTATTTCTAGTCCTGTGACTGGCTACAGTGATCTCTAATCTCTAGGGTACTTCTTTTCCCAGCTTCCAAGGAGTCCTGGTGGCGTAGTGGGCTACTCATTGAGTTGCCAACACAGGCCAGCAGTTCTACCCCACCTGTTCTGTTCTGAGGCAGAAAGATGAGGCAGTCTGCACCCATGAAAACGCCAAGTCTCATAACCCACAGGGGCACGAGTACTCTGTCCAAGAAGGCAGCTGTTAGTTGACATTGACTCAATGGAATTTCCTCACATTCATGCATGGATCAATACATGGCTAAAAAGAAGCCTCTGCAGTTCCCACAGCTTCTTGCTTCATAGCTCCCCTCTCTCTGGCTAGACCCTTGTGCTCTCAGGACCATCTCTTTAAATCAAGGGGATCCTAGGCTCTGCCCATAGCTCCTCCTCCAGGGGCCAGGAACCCCTCTCAAGGCTGTGAGCAGGGTTCACAGCACTTGTCTTCCATCCCTCATTGTCCCATGTCCTGAAAGCTGCGGCATCATAGATCCATTGTGTGGTTATCCAGTCGCTCTTACTCCTTCTGGGTCAGAAAGCCAAACTCACTGTGCATACGATATACATGCCTGAAACACCTAAGGAGCCTGCACCTGCTCATTTGTATAATTAAGAGCATTCGATGCATGAAAAACAAGCTAGATAACCCTTCAGGCACAGTAACGGGAATAATGATCACCTAAGGGTATTGGAAGAGAGGGTGGAAGGGGGTGAAGGGGGAGCTGATAGCAACGATGACTATATAACCCTACTCGAGGGGCGCTAATAACAGAACTGTAGGTGAATGGATACATTGGGTGGTGTAAGATATGGCAAATAGTAGTAATATGTAATATAATAATAAGGGTTCATGGGGGTAGCATGGGGGAGGGGGAACAAAAGGGAGTCAAAATCACAGTTCAAGAAGAAAGAAAATATTTTGAAACTGATGGTGGTAACCATTGTACAATTGTGCTTGGACTGTTATAATATCTGTAAGTGCTCCCAATAAAATGATTAATTAACAAAAAAGAAAGAAAGAAACACCTCAGGTGAATCTCTCGGGGAGAGGTGGGAGCGCGGTATCCTGGGCAGTGAGAATACCATGTAACCCAGGCAGTGGACACTCAGTTCCAGCTGACTCTGCTTTCTCCGGTGCCTCGCAGGTGTGCAGTCATGGAAGTGTTCTGTGTCTGGCCCTTCCACTCTCGTACTCAAGGACCATATGCGGCTAGTGAGCCCTTAGCATGTGGCTGGTCCCTCAAGAAACGGAATTTTTAACTTCATTTAATTTCAGTTAAATGTAAATAGCCACAAGTGGTTTGAGTAAACCCTTAGGAAGAACCAGCAGTCCTGAGTGACATTGTTCTAGGGGCCAGGCAACAGCTGAGGGTAAATTCTTATTCCTCTCTATGGTTCCTCTGCCGGGCCAGGGTATATTGGGTGTGGAGATGATGAAGACGCTCAGCTGCAAACAGCGAGGTTGAAGGTGCAAGCCCACTCAGAGGTGCCTTGGAAAAAAGGCTTGGCAATCTTTTATCTTATTTTATTTTTTAAAAGTCATTCAAAATCCTATGAAGTACAGTTCCGCCCTGACACACATGGGATTGCCATGAGTCAGAATTGGCTGCAAGTTAACTGGTGATTCTGGACAAGAAAAAAAAAACCTCTGCTAATTATGCTAAAATTATGTTCCTTCATTAAGCCACTCAGGCAGTCTGAGCTAGTCATGAGACCTCCCAACCTCTTCATCCACTGACTTGCTGTTTTTTGTTTAAATCATTATGAGCTCTAAAATCCCTTAGAGCAAGAGAAGGTACCTCCAGAGACTAGCCAGGGTCAAAGTCTCCAACTGTCAGTGCCCAAATGAAGCCTGGCCCATGTGTGAGTCTATTCTGGCTTTAACAGAGGTTAAAAATGCGGGTCAAGGGACTCATGGGCCACGTGAACCCCAGGCTCCTTGTCTCTGAAACAAGAAGATGTAGCTGGTGCCCAGCTACCAATACCAGCCTCTTTGCAATGGGACCCCAATAGAAGGACTGTGAAACCAAATTCAAAATAATGAAAAAGCAAAGATACCAGACTAAGGTCTGATTGGAACTGGAGAACCCCCTGAGACTATGGTCCTCAGTCACCTTTGAACTCTGTACACTGCCCTCATAACTCCACTTTCAGCCAAACACCAGACAGGCCAGTAGGAGGAACGGTCACACCAAGGCGGTACACTCTCCTCGAAACCATCAACAACAGGAGGCAGCGTTTGCCCAGAAATAAAGGCGGAAGGCAGGAAGGGGCAGGAAGGAAGGGTGAACGCAGGGAGGACTGGAGAAGGGCACTGGTGCACCGTGGGGAGTGAAATCAATGTCATGAATCAACATGCGTAGGAATTGTTGAATGCATAGGAATTGTTGAATGCTCAGGAATCGTTGAATGGAAAACCAGTTTGCCCTGCAGACCTACTCCCAACTCACAAGAAAAAGTCAAAATAGCTAAACATAAGAAAAAAGTACTTGAGCCACCACTTATGAAGCACATTGGTCCATCTGTTCTTGGCAAATGCTGCTTGGGCCCGGCACTGACTGCACTGACTGGCGCTGCAGGGCTGCTGCTCTCTGGATGGAGCATAGGGTTTCTGCTTTGCCACAGTCCTCACCACTCCCTACTGCCGCACCAACCACCAGGCCTTTTGTTGGTTTCCCAGTGCCATCCTAATTGTGCTAGTGAATGTATTCTAGTGAAGAAACATTTCTCCAAAATCCAATGCCACGTCTCCTCCCATGGTGGTAAATAAAATAAAATAACATCAGTGGGGGTTGTGATTTTTTTTTAACTCAGCCCATTCTATAAACTTACATGACATGCCAGAGGCCTCTAAGCATGTGAGGGTGTGAGAACGTTTACTAAAGGGATGAAAATCAGGCAGCACCAGCTGAATTCTGCAGCTTCCCAGTTCAGCCCCCACAGCCAACATCAGGAACCCACAACACCCTGTCCTCAGGATTTCCTTCACCACAGCCCACGTGACGGCCATTTCTCAGACATCTGTTTGGGCAGGCAAAACGACGCCCCCTCCCGTCCTTCATCTGGTCCCTCCCTCTCCGTGACAGACATGCACTGGATGAACAGAGGCGTGAAAACACAGTTCAGACGCAGGCTTATCTTTGGCCAGAGTGGTCAGCACACAGGTGAGGCAGGGTCGGTTACGTCCCATGTCCAGCTCATTTTCCTCCTGCCCCACCCTTTCACTCACCCTACCCACTCTTCAGAGTCAAAGCCACAGTCGGCTGTCCAGACCATCCCACATTGCCCCCATCCTGGCCTCTGTTCCCCAGCTGTCGTGGGAGTCGGGGAGTACTTACGGCACCCGGAGCTTGGGGAACTTCTGGATGTCATTGTCTGTCAGATTCTGAAACCAAGACATAGGGAGGCAGGTTAAGGACCCACGAGAAAGGCTGTGCATTTATGACAGGTGCAGTTGACAGGGTTAGATGGAATACTTCATCAATGCATCTCCCTTTAGAGCCATTGTAAAGTTGTTTCCGTTTTGAATATTTTCTGCTTTCTTTTTGATGGAGGCTGTTCTATGTTTTGTTTTCCTTGTTGTCTGTCTGCTTGCTTGCTTTTTGTATCTGGTATATTTTTCTTTAAATGAGGGCCAGGATCGGTAGGTCTACAGAGCCAGGAACTGGATTGATGATTGTCTAGGGGCAGGGCAGGGGAGGATGGGACGACTGGGGAGCTAACAGCAATGAAGATGAGAAGACAATGTTCTGAAATTGATTGTGGCGGTGAGTGCACAAATCTTCATAACATTATTGAATGAATAAATTGTATGATATGTGATATATATGCCAACAAACTACTTAAAGAGATAAATGTCCATGGGAAGGGGAATGTGACAAAATGCCACCAGCTGGCAAATCTAAATAAAAAGTTAAAGAAGTTAAAGAGATAAGAAATATAATTTCCTAAAAAAACAAACAAACAGAGGCTCTTGGCCAGGTGACTAACGTGGGAGGCAAGAGGGAGCAGTGGGGCTGGCAGCAAACTGGAGAGTATGCCCCTCCACCCAATGCTGCCGGCTATTGCATAAGAGCCTGGGCCCGTGACAGTGGGGTCTTTTCCTCCCAAAGGGAATCCACAGATGAGACATTCTGGAAACCAACGTACTCCACCAGCATGAGGACTACATCTGCGGGAGGCACCTGTGGTAGTTACATCATCTGTTGTCAATTTGGGAGGATTAAAGTGAAGGGGTGGAGGTTCGCCTGACAATCAGGTCGCAGCTTGATGACCTCATTTGGAGGCGCTAAGGAGATAGCTTGCTGGAGGTGGGATCCATGCTCTCTCCCTGAGAGACGCTCTACTGACAAGACACATGGAGCTATGCTGATGGCAGTGAGAGCCCTGGATATGGAGGAGCCATGTGGAAAATCCTACCGGTGCTGAGATGCTCCCAATGTCACCGGATCCACAAGACTATCCACCTACTGGCCTGTGATCTTTCTGCATTCAGTGGCATTGCCTGTGTTTTGTGAGTCTGAAGGGGGCTTTATAGATTGGCATCAGACATATGGGCTGATATTGGACATATGGACTTGATCTGGACTGGGCTGGAAGGTTTTCTCAATGTTCAATTGCTCTTGTATATAAAGCTCTTTCTCATACACATATTTGAGTGCTGCCGGATTAGTTTCTCTAGTCTACCCAGACGAGTACAGCGACACGGAGACTGCTCAGTGCACAGGATCGGGCCATCTTGCAGGTGGCCCTGTGTGCTTACTCTAGACCCATCCCCTTCAGTCTCCCATCATGCCAGCCCTGAGAAGGGGTGTGTGCCTTTTGCCATAAGCACACCCCGGAAGCCTGGTTCACCAGCTTATTGGCGAGGGCAGGTAGCAGAGGACTGACTGTTCCGCACAGGGCAGTGCCCGGTCTCTGGGCCTCGGCCTTGCCTAACCCTCAGTGTTCCGTTTTCCGGGCAAAGAACTGGGACAGGGAATGGCAAGGGACTCAGCTTGCGGAGGAGAGAGCTGCGTGGGAACACCATCTGTTTCTTCCTGCACGCCCTTCCTCATGTCAGAGCTCTCAGAGGGTCCGGTGGCCTGAGCCGGCACATGATGAGGATGGGCACGGGTGCAAAAGAGGGCATTTCCAAGAAAGGAAGAGGGGGAGGGGGAGGGAAAACCTGCTTTCTGTGGTGCCAGCAAGGAGCCACAGGCAAAGGAAGATCTGCCAGTGGCCCCGTTCTGATGAAGACCAGATAGGCTGGGTGATCAGAGTCGGGCTCTGGAGACAGCAGAGGTTCGAATCTTGGGAGCTCCATTCAGCAGCTCTCTGAGTTTCAGCACAGAGCGAACTTCTCTGAGCCTTGGTTTTGGTATCTGTGAGAAGGGGGGGTCACTACAATAGTAATGGCTACCTTTCGGGGTTGTGGGGATTAAGAGAGGAAATGATTGTAATGCACTTAGCCTGGTGCCTGGCACACAGTGAGGGCAGGCCATTTGGGGGCTCTGGAGGTTGGGTGCTGCTGCCTCCACTCTCCCTTTGGGATAGGACTGTCTGTGAGGCGATTGATACCCGTTGGGCAGAGCTGACCCCACCCCCTCCCATTAGTGCTCACACGGTGGTGTGGGGACAGCTTAAAAGCCAATTGTCACTGGGTCCACGTCAGCTCGTGGAGCGCCCAGGCATCAGAGCAGGTGCTCCACAGGCTGTTTGGAGGGACTCGCAGGCTTTCCTTCTGAGGCACCTCTGTGTGGCTCCGACCTCCACAGCCAGATGCATTAGCCAAGATGCATTAGCCATTTCCTCTACGCAGGGACACCTGGGACATCAGAGCCATGTGCTTCTTGGGCTCATCAGATCCAGCTTTGGGGAGCAATTTCTGACCCCGCCATTTTCTCAGACCATCTGAGGCAAGGTTCTTTGGGTAAAGGGAGTCTGCTAAAGGTCCCCAGAGGATCAGGCTTTGTGGCGAGGCCTCTCAATGCATTTGCTGTTATTTTTAAAATCACAGAACAGCATCGGATCCTCTCTGCAGAGGCCCTGGGAACTCAGGCCAGGCACCGACGCATGCTCAGAGTGTGGGGGAGAGCTGAGGGCCTCCAGGAGGTGGGGAGAGGGGCCATAGTTGATGGCTGAGCAATGGCCCCTGGCCCCATTGGGCAGCATGGAGGACATGAACCAAGAGGACACTGGGAAGAGTGTGGAGGAGAAGGTGAGAAGGGACAGGGCACGACAAGCCCAGGAGCAGGAGGTTGGGAAAGAGAGAAAGCCTTGTGAAGTGAGACATAAACTCTGAGCACAAATGAGAGCACAGCAAGATTTGTGCGTGTGGGGGGGTGGTGGTGGTGGTGGTGGTGGTGGTGGTGGTGTGACCTTTACTGTGTGATGTAACCCCCACCTCCTCCATCAGAAACCTCCAGGTTACATGTACAATCATTTGTGGGTTTGGCTGGAGGATGATTCTAGGCTGAGGGTATCCTGGAGGGTGCAAAGAGGAGGGAACGCTACCAATGAAACCCTTTGGGCAGCCATAACATGGGCACAGCAGCCGGAGCCCATCCCTCTTCCTTTTCTCATGCTCAGCTGCCAGCTAGAAGGTGGGCCATTGGAGCATGCCCAGAGGCCCTCGGACAAGCCTGGTAATCTACCTCTGAGAGATCAGCCCTGATCACAGTTCTGCTCTGACACGTGTGCATGGGCTCTCCAGATGTCCAGTTCAAACACGGAGGTCCCTAGATGTCCTTGTAGCTGACGGAGCACCCCTGACTTCTGCGGGGGCCAGTGAGCTATAGCCTGAAGTCTGCTGTGGGGAGCTTCAGGGAACATTGCTAGATGTCAGGGGAGGGGGGGCCTGGGAGGGACTCACTGTAGCTTTGACTCTGCGTGTGAGGCAGACGGGCTGCCTAGAGGGAGAGGACCTGGCCAGCAGGCATTGGGAGAAGCCACCAGCTCTTGCACCTGCTAGAAGGAACCGCTCTTCCCGATGACTTCTTGGGGCCACACCCAAGCCCTTGGCATCCAGTGACAGAGTTCATCTCTCTTGAGAAAGAGAGCCCTCTATTTGGTAAAACCACCGCAGTCACATGCCTTCCTCCCTGCTGGGGCCTCCCAGCACGTCCCTCCCTCCGTGCCTTCCACCTTCTGAAGCCTGTCTCCTCCACGCCCTCATCAGACACCTTCCTGCATCCCCACAGGGGGGGGACATGGCAGTCAGAGAGAGTCCTACCTCTTCAAAGGGACATGCTCACTATAGAGAAGAAGGGAAGGAGAGGGAGGGGGAAAGAATGAGCAAAAGCATCACAGGGAGGAAGAGAGGGGAAAAGGAGGAAGACAGACCAGGGCCTTCCACTCAACTTTCAGTGGAAGCCTGACCCTGAGAAATGCAGACCAGGATCGGGGTCCCAAATTGTACCCAGAGTGTCTGGCGGGCAGTGGGGTGAAGAATCTCAGTGGGAGTCGCCTGTAACCATGCCAGCTGCTGGGGTAGGTTTCGGGTCTGCTCCCGCTCTCCTGCCTCCTCTCTCTCCTCTTCCCACCTCCTCCTCCTCCACCTGCCACCAGCAGAATGTGCTGTATCTTCCCAGGGGTTGATGGTCCCAGAGATTAGAACACAATGGACACAGCTGCTCAGATGCCATCTCTCGGCAAGAAGATGGCCTTGACAGCCCTTGGGCAGTCTCCTGGGGAGGGCCTGATGCTGGGACATGCCCTGCTCCCTTTCTATGGAGGCACAGTTCTCAGTAATAAGGCACCAGACGAAGGCTCAGCAGTCACTGGTGAGAAGAACACCAGAGTTCTGAGAATTCTATCAGCTCAACGCAAAACACAAAAACAAAACACGCTGCCCTGGAGTCATGCTGACTCACAGTGATCCTATAGGACAGGGTAGCATTTTCCTGTGTGTTTCTGAGACTCATTCTTTACAGGTGTAGAAAGCCCCCTCTTTGTTGCAGATCACAGCTCACCTCATAACCACTAGACCACCAGGCTTTTATTGGCTCTACAGCTGAGTGAAACTAGCATTGTTAAGACTCAAGACGGGTGCATAAGTAAATGTGGTGAAGAGAGCTGATGGTGCCTGACTATTAAAAGGGATAGTGTCAGGGGTCTTAACAGCTTGAAGTTAAACAAGTAACCATCTAGCAGGGAAGCAACAAAGCCCACATGGAAGAAGCGCACCAGCCTGTGTGATCATGAGGTGTCAATTGGAATAGGCATCAGAAGTTAAGTAATCAAATTAATGTGAAGGAGCATTGACAAAGTAGGGTCTCTAAAGGGCCACACGGAAGACATGATACATCTAAGGAGCACACGGAAGACATGATACATCTAAGGAGTGGCATAGCACTGATGAAACATGGCTATCCTCTAGTTTTGTGATATTTCCTCCCTTTACTATCATAGTCTTAGTTTTACCTTATTAATCTTGTGTGCCACACGTATGTTCATTTATATAATTAAGGTCATTTGATGATTCGATGCATTAAATCCAAGATAGATAGACCCTTCAGAAACAGTAATGGAAGTAATGATTCCCTGAGGTTACAGGAAGAGAGAGGGGGCAAAAGGGGAAGGGGGAACTGATAGCAATGATGACTGTATAACTCCACTCTATGGGAACGAGTAACAGAATTGGATGGATACATCGGAAGACGTAAGATACCGCAAAAAATAAAATAAAATAATAATAACAATATAATAATAAGGGTTCTGGTGGGTGGGGTAGGGGAGGGAGGGGATAAAGGGGAGCTTAAAGATTTCAAGAAGAAAGAAAATGTTTTCACAATGATGGTAGCAGCAATTTTACAATTATGCTTGATCTAATTGAATTGTGGGTTATTATTATATCTGTAAGAGTTCCCAATAAAATGATTAATAAAAAAGAGGAATACATTTTTTTAAAGACGCAAGATGGTATTTGACTAAATATTTGACATGCATGCTTTAGGTGTGTTGCTTAGAATGAGTCACATCACACCTCTGTAGACTGGTTTCCTCATCTGAAAAGTAGGTGGTTGGAGGCTTCCTGGACAGACCTATCTGCTGTAAGCCAAGCCCGGGAAAGCCTGGGATAATACAGTAGATCCCTGCTAAATCATGTCTCCAGTCCCTGGCCTGACTGCGTGTGTAAGGGAACTCGGGAAAATGCTTGCCGAGTGAATGGATGGGTGAATGGATGGTTTAGATGCAAGAATAACTAGGCACGTCTTCCTTGGCACCTAGAAGTGAAACTAAGACCAATAGAAACCCAACTTTGGTTTCAGCGTGAGTCACGCAGCACTGCCCAGAGGGAGCATTTGACTATTGGTGGTAGAGAGCTCACCATCCTTGAAGGAGTTCAAGTTAATGTTAATGATAGCACACATGTCCTAGGTAGAAAACTAGAGGACTCAATCTTGCCTTTCTAGTCTTGAAGCCTCATGGCCAGTTTCCCCGGCTGACTCAGCTGTGCACGAAGCCACAGCTTGGCTTGCCACCCTCACTCTCAATCCCAATTGGGAACATCTACCTCAGGAGACCCTTGACGTTCTATTGCCACTTCTTTTCTAGAGGGTAAAGCAGTAGATGGTGTGGTCAGCATCTCTTTTATCTATGCACAAAGCTGTCATTTCAGGGGAAGTGTTCATAAAGCTCCCCAACTGCCCAGTGCCTTATCTCCTTTAGAGCTGCAACCCTCTCTCTTAAATGGTGCAGCCCTTAATATACAGCTGTGTCTTAAAGTGGTTTTGAGACAGACTATTGCAGAGAGAGCCGGGTCACAGGCACTTAATACTGACCTGGGTAGAGCGAAAAGGAAAACAATAGAAACAGATTGCCTCCACTCTTTGGCCCGTTCATGGGTGAGAGACGGAGAAGTGGTATCCCCCCCCCAGATGGCCCTTTTCACTCTGTGGCCTCGGCAAAGGACAGATGGCATCAGAATGGACTTTCCAGGGTGTTTCATTCATTTTATCTCATTCTTCTTGGGTTCCTCCTTGGCCTTGGACTTCAGCGCAGACTAAGGTTTTTAGCAGAGCCCATACAAGAGCTGCGAGGTTGGCCTCAGAGACGGTGTCTGTGAGGTGGTAAGGAAGAGGACCAAGGGTGGGGGAGGGTCCTTAGGACAAACAGTGACCCCAGACATCCCCTGGGACAGGGCAGACCGCTGGGGAACGTACATAGCATCCCAGTTGCAATGGGTGTGACTGCCCGAACTTACCAGGAACCGTGGCCCGTCAATGTGGTACTTCTTCACTGCTTTTTCACAGTCCTTGTAGTTCAGCTGCAAAGAGAAGGGGGAGATGCTGTCAGTGGCAGGTAGGGTCCTGTCACTGGCTCCCCCGGAAGCTTAGCAATTTGTGGCACTTGTGGCTCGCCTCCCCCTCCCCTGTCTGACAGATGGGCCCATCCTTACCTCAGCACTACCCCCTCAGCCTGCTCTCACTACCCCTTTGGGAATGTCGGAAATGGAATAATTGCCTCCTGTTCAGCCCTTCTCTAAGAGACTGCCTTCAAGTCATTCAAAAGACTGGTGGGAGGGGCGGAATGGATTACTGAAGAACCTTCAGCTCCTGAAGGAAATAGGGATTAGCTGGAAGAAGAAAATATACACTCGCCATTGTCTTGCCACCCAAGGACAGGCTCAGTGACCATTGTTTCCGTCAATGGCTTTTCTCAGCATATTTCTAAACATAATTGAAGTGATGATTCATATTCAACCATGTTAACTTTTCTTCCTTAAAATGAGTACGTCATATGATTACAAACTTATTTTAATGACTACAAATATCATTTAATTATCCCCTTACTGCCGAACATTTAGGTCAGTTTCCAAAATTTTCCATCCCAATAGCAGTAATTCAACACTATGAATAATGACCAAGCCGTTGCTACGTGGCAGCCACTGTTCTAATTATTTCGATTCATCTCAGGCACTTTGTTCCCCGCTGTGCACCTGGGCACCCTGAGGTGCAGAGACCTAGAGGACTTACAAGAAACTCTAGGACACGAGTAGGTGACGGTTGGGCGTCTGAACAAGGCCCTCCTGTGTCTGTTATCAATATTGTCTTTGTTCAAGAATACAGTTCCCTCCAGTATGTAGAATCAGCTCATGGAGGCGTACAGCTCCGTAGGCATCCTCAGATCAGGGCCCCTGAAACTCTCAGCCGCTGACACGTTTCTGCACAAGAACTTTGTAACAAGGACCAGCGCAGCCAGAACCACCGCAGAGTCATGACACGCTGATTTTGAACTAACTCTTGGCCCTTGAGTGCTCACGAACCTTTGACTGTTGCTACATCTTTCGCGACCCTCCACATTCATCTGGGGCCTGGACCCACCATTTAAGCGGCTCTTCCAAGAACATCAGGGCCATTCTTTGACAGCAGGTGTTCTTTTCCTGTTCCTGATCCTTACAGTAGAGTGATAGGCTCACAAGGGATGAGCACTGTGAGGGTCTTGGCACTTTCCTAAAGGGTCCTGCTCATTAAGGATCCCGTGAGCTTCCATTTCCCCATGGGCTCAGCAGCACAAGCATTCGCGTCTTCACAGCTACCTCCGGTGGATGTTCTGGGCGAGACTATCGAAGACTAGCTGTCTAGGTTTGGGGATTCTAGCTTCCCCACTTAGTGTGAGACTCAGTTTGTGACAGCCTCTTTGAGGATAAAATTAAAGTCACTTTCTTCTCTGACAGCCAACTAACAGAACCAGTGAATTGTTATAATTGTTAGAACTCCTTGATCAGACAGAGTGGGAAGTACATCATCGTCGTCAGAAGCTGATCTGAAGGCCAGCAGCAAAAGGAAGCCATGGCTGAGGGGCCACAGCAGAAGCTGCCAAGTGGGCTCTGACACCTGGCACTCCCTGTGTGTCAGAGCAGAGCTGTGCTCCAGAGGGCTTTCAATGGTGATGCTTCCGAAAGAGATCGCCAGGCCTTTCTTCTGAGGCACCTCTGAGTGAGCTTGAGTCTCCAGCCTTGAGGTTAGCAGTCACGGTCATTAACCATCACAATGCCCAGACCCCAAGGAGCCTAGGCTATGCCTTCCAGCTCCATGCAGTGTGGTATAAGCTGTGTTTGGACTCCCCAGCCGCCTTACATCCATAATTTTGACCGTCATCTTTGTCACATGTCCCTCTAATTATGCAGGTGCTGTTTTGACCCTGGATGGACAAATAGCCTTATAGACTGGGGCTAGAAGTTTGATTCTGACCCAATAATGGGGGCACAGTGAAGCGACAGACGGCAGAATGAAACACTTCCCAGTCCAGGGCCAGCCGTGTGAGCCCGCTGTTGTAGCCATTGTGTCAATCCATCTCGTTGGGGTAAAAGATTTTTTAAAATTGCTTTCCTGACCAGTCTTGAGTGACATGAGTTGCATTCTCCACGTTGTGCAGCCCCCACCACCTGGTAGACTCTGTCGATTTGACAGACACTCAGGAGGATTTGTAGGGGCAGTCAGCTTTCGTAGGCACTGGTCGAGCATACTTCTTGGCATCTTAGTCGAGAGGACCGAGGCCCAGAGAATCTGCCTAAGCCTGTACAATAAGTTGGAAGCACTGTAGGGATTAGACCACAGGGTTCTCAGCCAGTGCCTCTCTGCTGTGGGGTACAGGGACCCACAATGGCCACATCAAAGTCATTTTGAGGATAAAGAAACACAAAGTGTAGGATCAGGCTTCAGGGGCTGGCATTCCAGGCAGGGGACAAGATAGGTGCATCTGGGACAAGAAGACACAGCAGCTGCTCAGCCTGTGGGGACCCCCCCGGCCACTGGCCAGTTCATTAGATCAGGAAAAAGTAAAGGGCGGAGCATTCCCTAGCCCTCTTTCTCTCTCTCTCTGCTGAAGGAGCCCTGTGCATGGTGAGTACCCACCGGGCTGCATACTGCAGTCAGCAGTTTGAAGCCACCAGCTGCTCTGTAGGAGAAAGATGAGGCTGTCTGCTCCCGTGAAGAGTGACAGTCTTGGAAAGCCACCGGGGAATTTCTGCCCTGGTGTTGAGTCGGTGACAGTGAGTTTGATTTTTCTCTGCTGAATGGCCCACTCGTGCACACATATGATGGCCTTCTGCCTCACTGAAATCCCACGAGGGGAGTTACTATGAACCACTCCAACTGACTCCAATTCATGGCCATGCCCTGTGTGTCAGAGTAGCATTGCGTTCCATGGGGCTTTCAATGGCTACTTTTTCTGAAGTAGAGTGCCAGGCCTTTCTTCCAAGGTGCTTCTGGGTGAACCCCCAGCCTGTTGTAAAGCAGCCAAGGGCACTAACTGGTTAAACCACGCAGAGACTTACTTTTAGTATCTCTAGTTTACTGATAAGGGTGCAGGAGGCACAGATGATAGGGTAGATAAAGCCAGGTCCCCAGCTGGCAGGGGGTCGAGCCAGGATTCGGGCTGAAGTGTGACTGACTCCAGAGTTAGGGTGGGGCACCTGAGAAGGTGCCCTTACCTCATTGCCTTCGTAAGAACTGCACCTCCAGGGAGTCCTTTCAAGGTCCATTTAATCCCCAACAGGACTGAGTGGTCTGTTTCTTTGGGGTTTCTCTGGGAACTGAGATGCTCAGAACTCCAAGAGTCTCTGTCCAGCTCGATGGTGTACTGTGCTTTCTCCCCAGTCTGGGTCTTGGATGCTGGAAAGGAAAACCTGTCCAGATGCTGTGGATTTGTCCCAGGGCCTGGATTCTTCAAGAACTAAACTTTCTCTTCCACAAATTCAATTAGAAAGATGTATCCCAGGGGCACCCTGGCCTATATCCCAACTCTCTCCGCTGACAGGAACGTGTGCCTGCCCACGGGTTCCTCTGCGGTGAGAAGGGCAACTGTCCTCTTCAGATGCCGAGGTGGGGCCTCTCTGGGCCTCTTAACCGGTTTTCATCCTCCTGTTGCCAAGTCTCGCGTCTTTTCTCCTTCCTTCTTTGATGTAACCAACCATTTAATCCCATATCAGAAAATATCACCTTGCCACTTATTTGATCTACATTTAAGGAGAGTCTTCAGAAGCATCCTTTGAATGTCAACTGTCCAATCAATGATCTTCACACATAGAGCACTGAAGGCCAAGTTTCTTCTGGCCTTTTAGAGGGAAACTATCAGAAAGGAGATGCACAAAATGTAGCAAATGACATGGCCTTGAGCTGGGCCCCAGCCACAACACCCCCACGTCTACATTTCTCATATCCTTCTTCTTGGTTGGGCAAGGAAATGTAGCTACAGGTTCCTTGGTACTATGGAGCTAGAACCCAGGCTTGGCTTTGTGTCCGAGAGGATCTCTTAACTCCTTGGGTCTCCATCTCCCCGGGAGGAACAGGAGATTGGATTACGTGACCGCTAAGGTCTTCACTAGATGAAAAGGCCTTGCTGTGCGCACAACGAGGACTGCCAGTTAAATGCGATGCCAGTCTCCATGCACAGTGGTCTCAGAGCTCAAATGTCCCTCGCACGATGTAGTCTTCCTTATAGCGGGATACAGGGTTCCCTACCTGAATCTGCCTAAGCAGGGGAGGACCCTGTCAGCAAGTGACCGTTCGTGGCAATTGTAGAGTGTCCTCCCCCATAAACAAAGGCCAGAATAGCAGCAAGACTTTAGCCCCAACTCTGCCATAAGCTCGACATCTGATCTCACCTGGCCTTTTCCACTCAGAGGCCTCAGTGCCCTACCTGTAAACTAGATGCACATCTTCCCGCTGCTCTGCAACCGAAGATTCCCATAAGTCCCCGTGAGACGTAAGGACCCTCCTTCCAGCATCACCAGCAATGAGTGCCCACCGCCATGGGTAGGATTCTTCCCCCTAGTCCTCTGCACCCTCCATTCTGCTCTTCCTTTCTCCTCCTCCAGGACTCCATGTCTGCCCTTTGGGTTAAGTGGCTTTGGTCTCCTTGGTGTTTGTTACACACCTCTGAATCCCAGAGCAGAGACGGAAGAGGACGTTTTTCTGTCACATGCATTCTCTGGGGTTTGGGGCTGCTTGACCTCCTGAAACTGGGTATGTGGCTGAGCCAGAGACAATGCTGACCTCACAAGGTATTGGTGAGCGTTAGATGGGGCAATGCCTGTAAAACATCACACTCAGCCCATGGTGCGTAGTATGGGCACCCCTCCCTTCTCCCTAGAACTCACTGTCTGAAAAGCTCTGTGGTTCCTGGTTGTCTGCACGGCACTCACTGAACCGGTATAGGGGGCGAGGGGTTGACAGGTTGATAGCCCCTTGGCTACCCTTTACCCCCTTTGTATTCTGCCTGGGTTCTCTCTGTGTGCCTCTGAGCAGCCTGGCAATGGCACCCCCAACCCTCCCAAGCACAAAGAGCAAGCTCACCTTCCTGAAATAGTCGGCAAGGCTGTCGGAGTCCCAGTCCAGGACCTCGGAGCGAAAGGGCACATTCCTCAGAGCCATGACTGCTCGCTCCGGGGACAGCACTCACAAACCGCATGCAGACGGCACACCCATGGACAGAGAACCCCCAAGCCAGAGCTCCGTGGTGTCCTGGACTCTGCCAACTCCCAAGTACCCTTCTGGAACACCCTGTTGGAGCAGACGTCTTGACTGCTGTAGCCAGATCCAGAAAGCAACGGCTTCCTCTGCGAGCAAATATGGTGTCTTCTCAGAAACCAACTCAGCTAGTTTCCTTTACCACTTCCTCTGCGAGGCTCTAAATAAGTAAACAAGGAAGCCCGGTGCTGGGTGCCTGAGATGTGGAGAGAGCGACAGGCCTGGTAATTTCCCACTGGTCCAGTCACCCAAGCCAAGGGGCAGAGGAGATGGAGGGGACTTAAATTCCAAAGCGAGTCCAAGTGTTTTTCCATTAAAACTCCCAGTACTCGTGTGTCTATACCACATTCCTGCCAGGGTGGGGCTTTGCAGATGAAAATCCACTTTGACAGTTGACCTAAAATAGAGATGATTTCCGACATCAGTGAGCTGCTGGGGAAAAGTATGTGGCCTTTGAATGCTGCCCCACAAACTTCCCCTCCCACCTTCAGTCCCAGTGCAGAGGGAGTTCCTCAGCTTCCTCTCCACATGTCTTAGGATCCTGAGTGGAAGAGTGGATAGCTTTCCAGGGTTGACCAGGTGCTACTGCATAGAGAGATGAAGCCTCCAATTAAGATGTCACTGCTTCCAGGCTGTACAGCCACAGGTAAGGGCTGAATCTCTGGGAATTTCAGTTTCCATATCTGGGGAATAGGAAAGTAGAAGAACACATAAGATGTGTTGTTGGTCATGTCAGGCGCCACCGAGTCAGCTAGGACCCATGGCAACACTGTGTGCAACAGAACAGAACACCGTACGGTCATACAGCCACTGTGTCAACCCATCTCACTGAGGGACTGTCTCACTGAGGGACTGCCTCTTTTATGCCACCCCTCCACTTCACTGAACATGATGTCCTTCTCCAAGAACCGGTCTCTCCTGACAATATGTCCTAAGTATGTGACAAAGTCTTGTCATTCTTGCTTCTAAGGAGTGCTCTGACTTTTTCGCTTCCAAGATAGATGGGTTTGTTCTTGTGGAAGTCCATGGTGCTTTCAGTACACTTCTCCAGGACCACAATTCAGATGGTCTTCAGTCTTCTTTATTCACTGTCCACCATTCACCTGCGTATGATCCAATGGAGAATACCATGGTTGGGTCAGGCACACCTTAGTCCTCAAAATGATATCCGTGCTTTTCAATACTCTTGTGTTGAAGGTCTTCTGCAGCAGATTTACTTAATGCAACACATCTTTTGATCTCCCAGCCTCTGCTTCCATAAACATTGGTTGTGGATCCAAGCAAGACAAAATCCTTGACAACTTCAACCTTTGCTCCATTTATCATGATGATGCCAATTGGTCCAGTGGTGAGGATTTTGGTCTTCCTTACACTGAGTTGCAAGCCATACCAAGGCTATAATAATTGAGTTTCATCAGCAAGTACTTCAATTCCTCCTTACTTTCAGCAAGCAAAGCTGGGTCATCTGTATATCACAGGTTGTTAATAAGCCTTTCTCCAATCCTAATGCCACATTCTTCTTCATAACAGGCAGCTTCTCAGATACTTTTCTCAATATAGATTGAAAACGTGTGGTGAGAGGATGCAACCCTGACAGACCCCTCCCTTGTTCTGTTCTCATGACTGCCTCTTGTCCCATGAGCATAAGAAAGTGTTCTGGAAATGCCATTCTGCTCAAGGTTATCCACCATTTACTATGGTCCACACATTCAGATGCCTTTGCATAGCCAATAACACAAGTAAACACCTTTCTGGTTTTCTTTGCTTTGAGTCAAAATCCATCGGCCATCTGCCATATAACTTAGCTGGACTTAACTAGACAAATGTGAAGGATCAAAAATATGAAAGAGAATTAACAATGGCTTTTGATGCTGGCCTTGAGTGATACACTTAGTTAACGTGCTTGGCTGCTAACTATAAAGTTGGAGGTACAAGTTCACCTGGAGGTACCTCAGAAGAAAGGCCTGGTCACTTACTTCCAAAAATCAGCCTCGGAAAATGTGGACAGCCTCCCCCACCCAGAAGAATTCACTTCAGAGGACAGCACTAAAGCTATAGCTCAGGGAGAGGGACATGTTTGATCAGAGCACATGGGAGCAAATGGAAAAATGAAGGGGGAGGGAGGGAGAGTGGAGCACATCCTGGCCCACCAAGTCTTGAGGACAATATTCCCACTCAGAGCAGCCAATGCATAGGCCTGGCCCCAACATGAGACACGACACCCCTCACTGACCCGTAGCACTATGGGGGACAACACTGGAGACACAGTGAGGAAATTGTGCCCGATTTGACCCCACCACACTGAGGCGAAACACTAAGGGTATGTAACAGAACAGCAAGGGGAGCAGAGCAATGAAGTACCTGGGGAATACCAAAAATAGACTGGGGGGTGAGGGTGTGGCACCCCATCATATGTGACAGGGAAAACACTCATAAAGGTCAACAAACAGACCTTGAACTATTTATAGGCTTTTTTTTGGTCGTTGGTTTGTTGTTGTTGCTTTGTTTTTCTCTGTCTTGTTTCTGTGTATATTATTATATCTGCAGGTCTATCTAGATAAGATAGGTGGGATAAACAATCTAGAGGAGAAAACAACGGGTCCGATGGTTCCGGGGGGGACATGGGAGAGTGGGGGGCGGGGGAAAGGAAGTGGGTGCTAACAAATCCAGGGTCAAGGGAACAACAAGTGACCTAAAATCAATTGCAAAGAGGGTGTAGGAGGCCTGGTAGGGCTTGATCAAGGGCAATGTAACTGAGAGGCATTAATGAAACCCAAATGGAGGCTGAACATCATAGTAGGGCCAGAGGAAAGTAAAAGGAAACAGACGAAGGAACTAGGAGGCCAAGGGCATGTATAGAGGTCTCAATACAGGCATGTACATATGTAAATATATTTATATATTTTGATCGAGGAATAGATCTATGTACATATATTTATAGGTTTAGTATTAAGGTAGCAGATGGACATTGGGCCTCTACTCAAGTCCTCGCTCAATGCAAGAACACTTTGTTCTATTAAACTGGCATTCCATGATGCTCACCTTCCCAACACGATCACTGAAGACAAAGTGGGTGCATAAGCAAATGTGGTGAAGAAAGGTGTCCATGCCTGGCTATAGCATCTAGGGCCTTAAAGGCTTGAAGATGAACAAGCAGTCATGTAGCTGAGAAGCAACAAAGCCCACATGGAAGAAGCACACCAGCCTGTGTGATCACGAGGTGTCATAGAGATTAAGGTAACAGGCATCAAAGAACAAAAAATCATATCATTGTGAATGAGGGGGAAGTGCAGAGTGGAGACCCAAAGCCCATCTCTAGGCAACTGGGCATCCCCTTAGAGACGGGTCGTGGGGAGGAGTCAAGCCAGTCAGGGTGCAGTATAGCACTGATGAAACATACAACTTTCCTCTAGTTCTTTAACGCTTCCTCCCCCTATCCCCCTACCGCTCCGTCCCTATCATGACCCCAATTCTACTTTACAAATCCAGCTAGACCAGAGCATGTACAGAGGTACAGATAAGAGTTGGAAGCACAGGGAATCCAGGACAGATAAACCCCTCAGGACCAATATTGAGAGTAGCTATACCAGGAGGGGAAGGGGAAGATGGTGAAAGAAAGGGGGAACTTATCACAATGATCTACATATAACCTCCTCCCAGGGGGATAGACAACAGAAAAGTAGGTGAAGGGAGACACTGGTCAGTGTAAGACATGAAAAAATAATAATAATTTAAAATTTATCAAGTTTTCATAAGGGAGGGAGGGTGAGGGACGGAGGGGG